CTCCGTAATAAATTGCGTAATATTACGTAATAAATTGCGCAATATTATGTCCAGACCGTAATTCTTGCACAATATTATGGGCCGTAATATCTTACGTAAGATTACGTTTATATAATTTGCTGATGTATCTAACTAAATTCAATATATTTTAATTCTATTAACTTATAGAGTTAAAATAAATAATAAAATTAGTTAATATTTATTGGCTTAAAGTTCTAAAAAAAAACTTAAATTTTAAAATAATTTTCATAGTTGGCTATTTCTTGACAATTCTGACCCAGAATTTTAGAATCAAGTTAGATAGTTATTAAAAATTGACTGAATGATTTTTCGGCCGATTTGGTTAAGTTATTGATTTCAGGCATGATAAAATTAATATATTATTGTTATTGATATATTATGTAATTTAAAATCAAGTGACCAATATAGATATAAAATGTAATACTTTCAAAGCAACTTTGCTAAAAAATCATTAAAAAATTTAAAAAGCCTACCTTTTCAAAAAAATTGCCAAACACTTAAGTGTTGGCATATCTTCTGTGAGCCGCATTCTAAAACACTTTCAAAAATATGGATGTGTTGAAAAACTTCTGTCACTTTTAGGAAACCCATATTCACTATTAAGGTAATTTGAATATATAAATTTTTTTATTTTGATTTCGCTTATTATAATTCTTTGCTTGGTATTCTAACCTGAGATTCATTTTTAAACTAGTCGACAAACTCATATTCATAATTGACTTTTTTAATAGTAGCACTTGTTCATGTGATAAAAGCCTAATTTATATTCAGATCTTTTTTATATTTCTTATTAAGGTTTATTGGTTGACAAGAGCACGCCAAACATGTTGGACAAGCATTTGAACATTATTGTTAGAAATCGTAGAATTAATATTATGATACAAAAATAGCTGTTATTATTTTTATTATTATATGGATCATGCTGAATTGATAGTTTAGCAAAATTTTAATAGTTAGAAATGTTTAAACTAACCAAGTGAGTTACCATTTTGATCAACCTAATCATTATATTTATTTAAAAAGAAATCTGAATTAATACTGTAGTTATATAAATTACTCCTAAGAGTTTAAAGAGTAGATCTTATATTGTACCTGTTATAACAAATATTTAAACCAGGTAATCAAAACTTCTTAACCTTGTTTATAATTTGGGTTCATTTATTTTCTACGTCCGAAATACTGATCACTGAATTTTATCCAACCCAATTTTTAATCCATGACCCACTAAGAAGCTGACTTGTATGAATCAACTTGCTCTGGGTAAGAGCTTTAATATTTTATTCCATTTGCCAAAGTACTCAGCATTACAAATAAAGTAAATCAATTTTTAAAATATTATTATACATCATGTAATGTGTAATACTCGTGCTTTGGCAAACTGAATTCCCAAAAAGACTTAATATTAGTGTTCTGCACAGTACGGTTCTGGGCAGGTCTTGTTAAAAACTATACCCGAACCATCACATGATATCGGGTCCTTATAAAGATCCAGAACCGTATCATGTAGATCCGGAACCGAACCGTAGAACCGGTATAAAATATAGAACATAGAACTTTCAATAATATTTGTATTGGGTCTCTTACTATTTTTTATTGTTCTACTAATTATTGTATAATTATTACATTATATATATTACTAATACATTTTTTAGATCACTGACGCAAATATGATCAATTCTTATAAGCAATTGATATTAATAATTAATCAGAAAAATAAGTAAAACTGTATTGGATATATTTTTTAATAAATTAGATTGATTATATCTGCTAAAAATATAATTGAAGTCTAAAGTCTTATTTTTACTTACTATAATTAATTTATTTATTAAAATTTTATAAAATTTAATATTGATTACATAATAAGTTTTTTAAAGCAAAATTGCAATTTATTATTTTACCATTTAGTTTACCCAATGGCTTATATCCGCCAAGAATTTCATAACTTTAACTCTTATAACTGCATTTTTTTTTTTTTGCTTATTATATAAATTTCAAAAAAAAAAAAATCATAAATTTTTTTTAAAAAAAAATTCATTTAAATTCTCGCCACCATGACCTTAAACACATTGCTACCTGTATAGTTTTATCTGCCAACCTATTCCGTTTATCTGTAATCATATCGCCGCTAATACTAAAAATTTTTTCACTTGGCACACTTGTTGCCGGTACAGGAAGACAATCCCACGCAAACTTTGCAAGATTTGAAAAGTTTGTATCATTTTTGCATCACCATTCCAGAACATCTTTTCTGAATCTGCGAGAGACATCATCAAATAAGTATTTAATTCGCTAGGACGTTTAGTACGAGCTCATTTATAAATCCTCTTTGTAATAGTAATTGGAGATAATTCAAGAGTAGAGTAAGCATTTTGGTTAGGAATAGGCGCATAGCTATTTTCATATTTGTTTTTAATGCTAAAATATTATATTAGTAAAAATCAATATTTATAAAAATAAAACAAATAAAATAAAATACCTACATATTTTTAATCTGAGTAATAAGATGCAATGACCAGCCAAGCTCTTCAAAATATTCAAATTTAAGTCTTGAATTCAAGACTATTGCCACGAAATGCAATATATTTGTTTTTTTACAATAGTTTAGAAGTTTTTTTTTTGCAGCATTGCACTCTTGAGAAAGCCATTCTGGTATTTTATTATTTTCCATAGAGTTTTCAAGAGTTTTAAGCAATTTATGATAAAAAGGCATAGCCATTGATAATGTAGGATATGATGAAGATGATATAATAATCGTTGCTTTTTTAAATGGTTGCAAAATTTCTACAAGTTGTTTTAATTTATTCCATTCTACTTTAGTAAAAACATTATTATTTAAATCACTCTCAGCACATGTAACAGTATCCAACACATTTTGTAGTTTCAAAGCCCATTTGACCATTTCACAACTTGAGTTCCACCTAGTAGCAACGTCAAGAATTGGTTTCAATACCTCCATATTATTGATTTCGCATATCATTTTAAACTTCTTATAAAGTGGTCATGAACTTCTAATGCTTTTAATTAATGTGCGCAACTTTTCAACTTCACTACCTACATATGTAAGTAAATTTTGCATAGCAAGGTTTAAGACATGACCAAAGCATCGAATTGATTGTTTTGTACAATCAAATTGAACTCCATTCTGTGCTACAGATTTTGAAAACTCATTTAAAAATTTAATATTAGCTGGCACATTATCATGCATAATTGAAACTAATTTAGAAATCAAATCTATCGATTGAAGACAATCTTCTAATGCATTGAAAATTTCTATACCACTGTGTGGTCCATCCATATTGATAAAATCTAACAATAAATGTTTCATATGCTATGAATTATCTAGATAATGAATAGTAATTGCCATAAACGATTTTTCATAAGTGCTTGTGGTCTATATATCGGTTGTTAATGAAATGCTACCTGAAACTTCTTGTAGTTTTTTTTTAAGTATTCTATGTTCATTACCAAAAACATTCATTATATGCCTTTTTATAGAATTAAAAGATGGCACTAAATAAAAATATTTGAGTTAAATATAATATTATATTATACTAAATAATAATAATAACATACTATATAAATATTATACCTTTTACTTGAGGCTCTAAATACAAATTTATGTCTTTAAGTCCATCATCTTCAATTAGATAAAATGGTCAATTATGCATAATAATCTATTGCTTAATCATATTATTGAGTTTTTCTTGATCAAACTCTTCACGCTGATTAACTTGCTGGTTATTTTTTAACATGTCCAATACAGAAGTAGATCGCTTATTATTATTATTATCCAATTCTGACACTTTATTTATATGAGTACGAAGCTTAAGGTGTTTTCTAAGATTTGAGGTTAAACCATTATTCGCATATTTCAGCAATTTATTACAAATTTTACATTTGACAAACACCTTATTTTTTAATAATGCCTCATTTTTTGATAACTCCTCATTCTCCTTATTATTTGGCTTTTGCTTCACAAAGTATCTCCATACAAACGATCCATTATTCATAGTATCAGGTTCTGACTCTAAAGTGGATGTTGGCTGTATAGCCTCAGTTCCATACAAGAATACTATTTCATTATTCTCAGACTTATATGATAGTAATGATAGTGTAGGTGAAACTGACATAACAACTTATATAAAAAATAAATTTAATTGTCTCAAATTTAAAATGTTACAAATGTTACAGATCTTATTAACCAAGTTTACTTACTTAATTCATATTTATATACAAACACCAAGTTAATTTACAAGAAAAAAGTACTGTAGGATTAATCAAATAACTAAGCACTCAAAATTCGCTCAGAATTCAAATGTATACAAGCACTTATTTATGTTCTCAACTTTTCTTTCTTTAGTTTAACACCTAACAACACCTTTAAACTACAACTTCGTAACTTTCTCTACACAAAGTTTGACTACAGTATGTAATGACAAGGCACAGGTATATTGTAATTCAAGTAAAATCAAAGAATGGGTTCGATCTTACAGATCGAACCTCTTATTTATTTATTTCTCACGTGTGATTACATCACTGATCTAATACAATAGACTTCGATATTACATTGTTAGTCTGTAATATTTAGCTTCAAAATTACACTACGTTATCTAAGCTATTAATATTATGTCAATCTTTTTTAATATATCTTATTCTTACTATATCCTATCCCCGGTACTAACATACCATGTGCAACCAATCAAAAAGTTAATCTACACATTTTTTTATTAGGTGTTAGTTGAAAGAAAAAAAAGTCTTATATATACTCGGTTTAAAGAAAAAAATTTTTTCTTTTATACTAGATTTTTTTGTTACACAATATTATATTATAGGTTCGGGTATTACAGTTCAGATATGAATCGAGACCCAGAACCGAATTATTTTAAAAATGATAAACCCAGAACCGAACCGGGGGGTCGGTTCTGGTTCTTCGGTTCGGTTCTGCGAAACACTACTTAATATCGACAAAGTTAGCCGGTATTAGTTATAATGTTGGCCAATTTGGTTGGTATTATGTTCTTTGGGGAAAATATAGAACCCAGAATATGGTATATATAAAATTTAACTTTCAGTTCTTTATATATTATATAGCAAGTACATAAAGATTTGTCACGTGAGTTCATAAAAATTTAATCTAGATTTCTATTTTGACCAATCAAATTTTAAGATCAGATCTGAATTTATTCGGATATCCGGTTTACTATTGATATTATCTGAATATTTGTCAGATTATCGAGATACCAATAGTAAATAGATATGCAGATAAATTCAGACTTCTAAAAATGAACTTTATTTAGAGCCAATTCACTTAATAAAAAATCATGTTTTGTATTGAATAATTATTTGCTAAAAAAAATTTATGACAATTCGCCACATTACCCTCCCGATTTAAAATTTTCAATTTTTCGATGATTTTAAACAAGTAATAAAATAGTATGCATTTTATTATCAAAGTTTTTTTTTTAAATTAATTAAAGTGTATTGGTAGAAGTACAAGTTTACAAAATTAGTAAATAATCAACTCTCTTTTGAAAAATTTTACCAATTGTTCTTAACTGCGCCATTATACCTCCTGTTACTTTATTCATATATACTGTATTCTTTTTTCATTCAAGTTTTATTGAAGCTTGATAAAGTAAATGCACAGTAAAATTATAGTAAATGTCACACACATCACGGGAATATGTAAATTGCACAAAATAATTTATTCTCAAACTTTCTCAAAATTCTTATGTATATTATTATTAAAAGGGTCATTGATCTTTACATATGGGTAGCATCAAATTTTTTATTGTTAAATTAAAAAGGAGAAGCTGTTGATCAGATCTATGTGATACGCTTATATTAACGTAATTTTCTCCAAAAGCGTATTCCAAAATCGATTCTGGAAATTATATAAAAGATAATATCCCTGTTAGTGAATTCTTTTATCTGACTTGTGCAAGTAAATAAAAAAATTCAAACCAATTAACAATCAAACGAACTCATATTTTCCGCAAAGTAATAATAAAGTAAGTTGTTTTGCTCAGCTAACTTCTTGAAACATGCCGTCATGATAATCAGTTTTCCCACCTTTATAGATGTTCCAAAATAAAACAGGCATATTACTCTTTTGTTATATTGGCATTTTGATCTTTACCAAGAAAATCTTTGACTATCATCATGTATATAATAGGCGCAGCAAAATAACTAGCAGTATTATGTAAATATTATCTAATCTAATCGAATCTATGTGTCTCATCAATATAGTAAAACAGAATTTGGTGCAGTATCGTACTGGCAATAAAAAAATCGACATACCTTTATTATAATGCTCTAAGCAACAAATTTCCTAAATGCAAGGCGGAATAGAATGTTGTGAAAATAAATTGTAATGGTAAGTGTGAATCGGAATATTATTTTTTTTTTATATTTAGTTGCTAATCTCCCTAATTTATGCGAAATTACTTAATGTTAATCTTGGAAAATAATCTTTTATATAGTTTGTGCGGATATAGATAGACGAAAATTCTGTAGATATGCGCAGGAAAATTTATTTCAGAAATCCTGTATAATAAAAGAGTGTGGAGTGAGAATCTTGGTTAGCAATAGTAATAGAAATAAATTAGGTGTAGAAGTTTATAAAAAGCCTGAGAGAACAAAGAAATAAATCAATGCTGGGACTCACCTAGAATCCACGTACTCCCTCCCTCTTTAATAGCATCATACATTTCATTCGCTTCTCTAGCATTTTCAGCTTTGCTTGTATAGTAACATCTTTTAAGGCAAAATTAGGATATATTATATTGCATCAACGATTTATTATAAATAATATTGCGTTTAGTCAAGGACTGAGGACATAACTAAAGGTCTTTGTACGGTGGCAGCGGGGCGGGACAACCCAAAGAGTTATGTTCGGCTAATCGTACTATCTTGTCGATAAGGCACGAGTGCCAATATCGCCACACAAACAACTATTACCAACACTTAAGTTCTACATGGAGGAGACTATGACAAAGAGCCAGAAGTCAAACACAATAGCGATGTCCTCACAGATTAGACCAAGTTGTTACGTGGTAGCAGCTGGGCGGGACAACCCAAAGAGTTATGTCCGGCTAATCGTACCATCTTGTCGATGAGGCATGAGTGCCAATATCACCATGCAACCATTAGTGGAAAGTAAAGGTTTTGCATTAAGTATTCTTTTTTGTCCTAAACTTGATACACCGGTTGTTTTAAAACCGAAACACTGATTAACTTGTAAACGCATTAATCGGTTAAAGTTATTATCAGTTAGAGTTTATAAAACAAAACACGTTTGTTTTGACTATCACATTACACCTGATCTTAAAATTTGATTGGTCAAAATACTGAAATAGAAATCTAGATTAATTGATAGTTCGCGAATCCACTATATTAATTTGCTGGCCACTTACTGCGCCATTGCTATTGTTTAAAGTGTTCTTTTTGATTCATTGAAATTAATATATTGCACATCTTATTGTTTACTATATCGACCAATTATTATCTAATCTACTATAGATCAAGAATGGTACTTTCGAATGGCTGACAAATTAATATAGTGGGTTAAGCCCTGATCCAGAGACAATAATTTTCTGCATTTCACGGAATACTGCAGAATCACGGAATAGGTAGACAAACACGGAATGCGTCAAAAATAGTATGAAATTGTTACAGAAAGTAGGAATATGGTGCATAAATATCACGGAATATAAAGATTTATAGATAAACAAAACAGCACATGCTAACTAGCCAATCAAAATTAATAATTTATAAAAATTTATAGGAAATTCTATTTTTACCCGGGTTTTTTTAACCCAGAAAATAAAGAATTGCTAGTAGAAAATTCCAGAAAATTCTATTATATAGCCCAATTTTTATTTTAGATTTTTAGATTTATTTTGCACCTCTACATGTTGTTAATCTACAAAAAGAGGTGAGTTTTTTTTGTGCAACATTAAAAAGACCCAAAGTTATACAAAATTTATAAAAACCTTATTTTGCATCCCTACATGTTGTTAATTTCAAAAAGAGAGGAGTTTTTTTGGTGTAATATTAAAAAAGACCCAAGGTTATACAAAATTTATAAATTTTTTTTTTTTTAAGTGTCCGGAGACTAAAGTTTATTGATGTTTTAGATATAAAGGATCACAAAGACCCTTGTATAAATTGTATTTACAGTATCGAATTTAATCTAACCAGTCCATACCCAACATATATTTAACTCTAGTACCTTTATATCTAGCACTGCTATCTACTTTATCTATATTTGGTAAACTAATTATCTTACTTAGATAAGCATAAACTGTATATATCTACCCAACCCTTCTGTGTCCCACACACTTCAGATTAGGTATCAGAGATATTACGCCTTTAAACCGAAGTTAGTATTTGGATATTACCCCTACATATCTCCTGCTCTTATAGAGTTCATATTTACTCTGATGCCCACTTTACTTCCTTTTTAGATCCTTCTTCCTGGCTTAACATTCAATCCCAGTTAGTTCAGTTAAGAAATATACCGAATTAGAATAATATAGATCACTCCTTTTATAGCAACAAAATATCAATCAGACTATTCTAGATTTCTTCCATATGATCATCAGCTTCGTGCGATTAGCCACTAGATCAGAGATACTGTTCGTACATATATATGTATATACAATGCTTTTACCTACAGCAATGGAGATTTAGATTAATAACTTCATACAATGATATATTGTTTTGCCAACTGTATGGGGTATTAAAGACAAATCACTGTTTATTGATATAGATTCAAGTGGACTTAAAGTGAATTATATAGGTAATATGAAAATGAAAAATCTTGCAGAAACATATTTATTTAATGTGTTACTGTAATCATTAGCATTTAAAGAATATCATTATAACCTTTTAATTTATTAAAAAAACTTTTAATTAAAGATTCTGATGACTGTAAAGCTGCTATTATTCAAGCGAATTACCCAGTTTCTGGAATATTTTACTTTGAAATTAAAATCATAAACCAAGAAAAAAATAGGTACTATTAATAATTATTTATAAATATTATCTTTGTTATAATTTTTATAGTTTTTTAATTCTATTTTCTTAATATGTAGAATAATTGAAATCAGATATTGTACAAAGCAAA